CGGCCCAATCTGTTTCTATATAATATACTACAGTCTCGGCGAGCGTAGAGCTCCCTCCTCCCTTCTCCTTTCCTCAGATATGTAGATATACCTATACACATGTACACTCATCTACGTGCATTTAAGTGGTATTGTTCGAGCGACCGATCGATCAACAACAATGCATAATGCACTAAATCTTTGACTGGATCTTTAAACCTTCATTTTTAACAAAACTAAAACCGTGGTGACGAACTTTCGGTGGAGGTGTAAGGAAAAAAAGTATACGTACCACGGCCAAAAAGTGGGGCTACATCTGACCGCGCATTACCGACGATAATATAGCGCGGTCAGTAATAGCTAATAGCCCCACTTTCTGGCCTAGGTACGTAATATACTATTTTTAAACACCGCTAACGACAAATCCAAAGTATTACTTTTTTCATTTTACACAAGTGTCGCGTACACAAAGTAATGATTAAATCGAAGATAATGAATTAAAAGCGATAAATTACTTTTAGAAAAATCACAATTGAATTATGACCGCCCTCAGCCATGTCAGTTATCGTGGTTGCACTTGTAGCCGTTACTTGTACGCTGGCATCGCTTCGGCCACCCCCCCCCCCTTTTTATTTGTTATCTACATTTTGTTGTATTGAGAGAACAGTGGCACGACAACAATACTCGTGCAGCGTCACGTTATTCAAAACAAGGCTATTGTTAGTTGTTGGTTGATAACATCAATATACATACGAGATTGTAATCCCGTCATAATTGTGGCTTCTGAGTGTATAATAATATTCATTGTCGGCTTCAACAAGTACGTAAGTATAAGTACTTTGATTTTTTTTTTGCTCAAAAACATTCGCTGTTATTTAAAACATTCTTTGTGTCCACATATATTTATGAGGTATACGTTTAAAAGATTTAAAGTTAATTACCCCCATGCGTTCGCCAGCCATGCGTAGTATATTGCTTCGTGTATCGCAACAAGTTGTAAACAAAAGAAAATAAATCGAAGAAAATATAAATGACGAAATAACAATGAGTTAGCTTTTTTTTTTTTTGGAATTGATTCATGACTATTTGGTATGCTGCACTGTTATGGGGTCAAATTTTGTTATAGGGAGGTAAAATCAGCACACCACAATTGCGACAAATTTCATCGTATAACGAAATTGTTCCGTTTCACTCGAAACGTACTTTAATGTTACTTTAATTTCATTTTATTTCGTAATTTTTCTGCTTCCAGTAAAAACCACTGATAACTTGGTTGTAATTATTTAATGATTAACTGTAGAAAGCATAATACATTTTCTTAATATACTAGGCATATGCTTACTATTTGAAAACAATACGTTGTGTTGTGATGGTTTATCCCTCAAAAAAAAGTCCATGTATTATTTTCGTCCTTAATGGTACAAAAAAAAAAAAATTTTACTTTTGCTTTTTTGTAGTACAACCACTCTTTAAAATAACCCTGCAGAGGGTAGCGTTTACCCCCGGATAATTTTGAGACTAACGATACGTTTGGCGAAACAAGGGAAACCATGGAAACCCAATCGTTGGATTCCGTAAGTCGAAAATTTGATGAATTTTAAACAGAAAAAAATTGCAAAATTGATTAAAATTATCATCCCGGCATCGTAGATAATCCAAGCACTCGAACCGTACACGCGGTTGGGCAAAAATATCTCGCCATACCTATCAGCCATCCAATCGTTGGATGGAACAACACCCGGTGACAAATACAGGGGACTTAACCAGCTAGTGAACGAAACGGTCAAAAATAAAGAAAAAGTCGGCGGTGACATAACGACGGAGCTTATTGTGCCCAAACAAATTTCCACGGCACTAGTACCGCTTTGGCAAATTCGAGTAGGCAAGGCTCTGAGGTCAAACGAGGCCGTAATCCAAGCTCTGACGTCCGAGGACATACCGGTCATCAATCAAGCCTTTCAAGCAAAATGGTTTTTCAAGGCCACGAACGAAATCGTGACCGCCGACAACTTCGTTAACAACATCATGCCCCTTGTATCGAAACGCACCCGTTTTCGGATCATAAAGGCTCTATCGCAGGGCCTCAAAGGCAACGAGAAAAAAGCCGAAGAGTTTCACGGAGCCTTCGTTGCTCTGTATGGCGTTGAAAAAACTGTACCGTTGTTGGCTGCCTGTGGCGAGAAGTACATCGAAGGGGAAGTGTCGCGAGCTAACATTCTTCCACCGTACGAGGTGCTATTTGATTTGTTCAAAAAGTATCCAAATCTCGTGATCGGCTGTTTAAGGCGGTTTGTACGGGACTTCAGTTATACGAGCAAATTTGATGGTGACGTCAAGTATATGGAAGAAAGGAAAATTTTTGAGAAATTTTTACCGCACTTGATAAGACGTCACATTGCCGTTTTTATTGAACTGTACCACCCGAAGTATTACGTAAAAATAGGCCGTACTAACACCGATCTGTTCTTTAAACAGGCTAAACATATTGTCGTGGATAAGGCACTTACTTTAAAAAATCTTTTTTCAGTCCAAACTATCGGCAAAAAGCTTAGTCTGCGACAGTTTGAAATATTTTTTGCAAAACTTTTTCCCGACAAGGCGGACAACTTTCATTTAGAAGACGTAATTAATTATTTGAAATGTTACCCGAAAGAAAAACGCGAGCAACTGTTTACCAACGTATACAGAGCAAAATATTCCAGAGAATTCTCGTTCCATAAAGACTTTATTTCTTTTCAGTTACGATGCAATATAATACATGATGACATATCAGTCGAACTGTTCGAACAATTGTTTATAAAAGTATTTCCTACGAGACTTAACGACATTTATTTTGGCAGCTGCTTTTTTATTCTGGAAATCTATGTTAAGTATTCGAAAGAACAAATATTCAGACTATTGGATAAAGCGTCTCTAGAAAATTTGGGTAAAAGTCTGTTTGATGATGTCTTCTCACTCGAGATAGACGACGATTTCAAGAAAAAGTTGTTGCGTTTGATGTCGCCAGAGAATAGAGCGTTGCAAGTACTCAAATTTTTGAAAAAGTTGCATGAAAAGTCCAACGATTATTATGCTTGGTACGTTTACGTACCTCCGAAGGAATCACTTGTCACTTTTAAGAATGCGATCGCAAAGTCGAGTGATAAAACCAGCAGACATAGGTTGATTGAGCACATGGTACAGTCTTGCGCGGTAGATTGTAGTAACGATGACTTGTTGGATTTTCTTGAGTATTACAACAGGCGTCATAAAAATGAGCAAACACAGCTACTGTGTGAAATATTTGAAATATTACACGCGTATTATGATCCAAGCAAGTTCGAAAGGTCCCAGTTCAAAGCATTACTAGAATTATTGTGGCGGGTGCATACGAAGGGCGAACTGACCAAGTATTTCGAATTGTATCATATAAAAATATTTCTTGACGCTGCAGTTCATCAAATATTGATTCAGAATGAAGATAATCTCGAAAGTATGGGGGACGAAAATCAAGTCATGCTAAATGAAATATTTGAAATCATTGTTCAATTTAATTGGTGCAGCGACTGGATGTTTTTGAAGGATAATTACGAACTGTTGGACAGGAAAACTCTACATTGCGTATGGAACAATGTAGAGAGATGTCTACATTTCGATAGATTTTGTTTTGAAAAGCTCATGAGTTTGCTTCCCCAAAAGTTCCCATCCAAACATTGTCCAATTCTATTAGAAAATTCTAAGTTGTTCACCAAATCCAAGGTTGCTTATAGAATTATACGAGAAATGCTTCGTTACAATGCAGTGATTGACAATGTTAAAATATATCACGATCCCGATTGTGCTATCGAAAAGTTATCTTTGAAGAACTATCCGCGCCTGTTGGAGATTATAAAGCAATCCTTACAAGACCAACAATGCTATGGTGGTCTGATAAACATGATGCGCACACACGAGCCGGAAATATTTCATCAGTATTACACAAGAGATGAGATTGTGGATGATGAAACAATAAAACGCGAGATAAAAACAGGTGAAGCCATCGTCAAGCTAAACAAAGATCAAGGTCTGATCGGTACTTTTGAGAATTACCTTGGCGCGTGCCAGGAATTACTAAAGTGGAACGCAAAAAATGGTAGCGTGGCAGCTAGGCGCCTGCTTCTCACGACCAAGTGGTACAAGGATCTGCCCAGCAAAATTATCGAAAGCTGCTTGCTCGACATCAAAAATCCAGGTAGCCTCAAGGTGCTGGGAATCATGTTGGAGGGTGACGTTTTTTCTAAAATTGTCACACCATTTTCACCGAAAAACGCTTCGTTTGGCATTCACCATCCAGACTTCAAGGATTACTACGTGCTCCTAAGGGCTGCGTTGTCAGGGATGAATTTGACGAGTCCACCAGTATCATTCGATGTGATTAACATGTTCTGTCTGGGCGATTGCGTCAAGTTGGCCCAACAAACATTTACCAATACCTCGGAGCGCGTGACCAAGAGCAAATTCAAAAGGTTTGCCGAGAAGCTGCTTGACAAGCCGATATCCGTTAAAAAGTATGGCATCCGACTGTTATTTAAGATAACGACCCAGGAGGACATGGTAGCGTTTATCAAGCGACTCTGGACTAATGAAACACACTCGTCGATTCGCCAGATGATCGCGAGCTTGGTTGTAAAACGCTTTGTTCTCGAGCCTAATGACAATAACTGGGAACTAGTGCAAATCTGCATTGATGCTTTGACAGAAAAAGACGATGAACCTTTCAAAGTTTTAAGTAACGTTAAAAAAATGAACAACTACTACAAGAGTCGGTGTATTAGACAATTATTGAGCAAAATCAAAACGTTTCCAGATCAAGTGAATCCTAACGGGGTGTCGAAACTGGATTGGATAGGTGATCTTTTGAAAAATGCTTTCGATATCGAAAAAACGTCGGAATTTTTGACCGAAGAATTAATCCTCGATATTGTCAACAAGTACTGTTTTGTAGAACCTTCGGTTTCGACAATTCGTGTTCTAGAAGGTGCTGAAACTTTTACCAAAAATGCATTTGGTCGTCCATTTACCACAAAATATTACAAGTTTAGTTTCAACTCGTATAAATAATTATATAAATTTCTAATATCAAAGTTAAGTTTAAGTAATTTTGATTGACTAAGATTTATTGTAACATTTAAAAGCAAAGTTGTATACTATGTTTGTGTGAAATAATAAATCATTTGTAAGTTATAAATCACAACCTCGACCTATAAGCATATGATGGGTAAAATATATTATTTGTCTCCAAGCTTTTTCTTATTAATAAATGGTATACCAAATATAAGGACACAATCAATGTTTTGAATTCAGTTTCCTTTTCATTTACAATGTTTATTGATTTTTTACAGTTTCAGATATAAAATATCAGGTAAAAAGAAGCAGGAGTTGGAATGGAAGAATCTCTGCTGTCGCCGTATTTGACGGCTATGCAGTCTGTACCAGGAAAATCGCTCGGTGATAAGTACAAACACAACAACGCTGTGGTCCAAAAAGTTGTAAGAATAATCAAAAAGACAGGTGATCATAACGTAGATTTGAACTCTTATGGAATCGCATCTCCTCTACATTCACTCGTGAAGATTCTAATTGGTGATCAACTAAAATCCCCCGAGTTGGTAGTAGATGCCTTGCAATCCACGGACATTCAGGTGGTCAATAAAGCTTTGCGAGCCAAATGGTTCTTTGAAGGATCAAACAAATTTGTGAACCCTAAATACTTCGAGGCCAATATTTTGCCTTACGTGTCACTTCGAACGAGACAACGGATAGTAAAAAATCTGTCGTATAGTTTGGTTGGCTTCGAAGCAAAGGCCAAGGCCTTTTTTAACACTTTTTCAAATCTTTACTGTCTGAAACAAGCTAGGCCCCTACTCTTGTGTTGCAATCCAAATTTTACTTTCAATATTATTGTTCAGTACAAGATCGTGCTGTCGATCAAAGAGCTCGAAATACTTTATCTCAGGCATCCAAAACTCGTGATTTGGTATTTATATTTGGGAGTAGAAAAACACAATCGACACGCAGAACTTCACCGGATTCGCTTGATGGATTATACTTCGACAATCCTCAACTTATTTCCCAGTCATCCAAATGATTTCTTATGTATTTTCGCTTCTGCCGGAATCGACACTGATTATCTCATGTTTTCGCGCAAGAAGATACGCTCTTTGGCAAAAAAAAGATTAGAATTTGTAATGAAAAACGCAGAATTTGTGATTGATCATTGCCGTGTGAATGATCTTTACAACAGTCTTTCGGAAAAGGATTTTGAAACATTGTTTTACAATCTTTTTCCGGATGATCGTCGTGATTTTGAATTTGCAACTTATCTTGAGTACCTTCAGTATCATCCGAGGAGCGATCGTATGATTTTACTCGAAAGTACATATAAGAAAAAGTACAATCTAGAGTTTGAAATGTTGAATGAAATAGATGACTACATTCATCAAAATAAATCAGATATTGATGTTTACATGAAGTTACTCCCCGAAGAGCAGTTTGAAATTTTTTATGAAAAGGTGTTCAAAAGTATGAGCTCAAAAAGTAAATACGATTTCGATATGATGATTTCCTACTTGGATAATTATCCGGAAGAAAAAAAATTATCACTACTGATGAAAAACTACAGCAAGATATTTAACTTAAACTTACTTCAAGATGTTCATTTTGCGCTTATGGGTTCTGATAAATTGTTGATGATTCTACCTCATGAAAAAAGAATCAGCATTATTGAAAACTTTATGCGCTCGTGCGAAAAAAATTCAGATAAGTATTTTAATGTTTGTTGCTACTTGCCACCAGAGAGATCATTCATAGTATTCAAAGATGCAATCGAATCTTCTAAAGCAACTGTAAAATTTAAAGTTATAACAATGATGATTCATTCGTGTAAGTTAAACAAGAGTCAAGAATACTTGCTGAAGTTTTTAACGTACTACAATAGTATGCATAAAAAAAATAACGCACCATTTTTACACGCCACGTTGGATTATTTTACAGAGCAATTCGCGATTCAAGATTTAGATGATTCTTGTTGGTCAACGTTTTATGAAATAATATTTAGGGCTTACATAAAAAATGAGTTATTTCCAAATGAATTGACGTGCATAATTTTCGATCGAATGTTGTATTCTTTGTTGATCAAGTCGAAACGACACGTTGAAACTGAAGACATAAAAACTCTGCTCGATAAGGTGATGGACATGTATTTGGAATATAACATAGAAATATGTAAAAATTCTAAGTTTATACTGAATTACCCTGCAGTAGTGAGGATACACTGTTTCGACAAACTTTTCGACAGATTTCTCAAAAAATATCCAAACGATCACTTAATTTGGAAAAATTTTGATCGAAAAACAAGTTACATGACGTGGTTCATCAAAAATATGCACAGTTGCAATATGAACGTAAAAGTTAATCAAGATGAACAAGTGCGCAAGGAAACATTGAAGCTGACTCGTTACCCCTTGTTCATGAAATTCCAACGTGACTTGACGGACGGCAACGTAGATTTGGCTACCAATTACTCTTGGATTAACACTTTGGTAGATCAGTGGTGTTTAACCGAAAAACATAAGGTCTCGTTTATAAAATCTATAAAAATGTTCGATCCTCATTACTACAAGCTGATGCACGCTACTTTTCATCCGGCAGACTACAAACAAAATATCCTACGTGGTAGGGTACACGACCTTGTACGGGCATGCGACGAGTGTCAAGAGACTGTCGATTGGAAAATGTACTTGTCAACCTGTCGAGAGTTACTGTGCTCTCAATCCCATCGAGAAGTACGGTCGGCGCGAAAATTCCTCCTCGAGTTGAGATGGTACAAGTACTGTTGGTCCTTCGTCAACCACAGTGTGCAGCGTATCGACCAACCAGGCAGCTTAATGGTGTTGGCGGTTCTCTTGGACGGTGAAACATTGAGCAGATACTTGTTGCGATTGGTATCTGCCGTCGACACTCTTGGACAAGGTGCGGATAAATTTTACAAGCCCGTGTCCTTCATTCCAGTGGCTGTGAAAACAGCTAACCCTCCGACTTCGGTCGAACTATTAAAGTCACTGTTTCACGCCGATCGTGAAAAATTAGCGACTCGCTCGATCATGAGCTACGGGCGCAAACTCGCAAAACCAAAAGCCATGGATCTCGTCGAGCTGCTGCTCAACGAGGAATCCCTTCTTTTGAAGAAACACGGGGCCGTGTTGGCTTTAGAAATTATGTCCTGCCAGGAGTTGCACGAGCTCTTGAAGGACATGTGGTGCAAAAACCACCAACCATACGCGGCTAAAGCGATAGCCCGTGAATTGCATCGACGTTTCGTTGCCGAGCCAAACGACAAAACTTGGGCGCTCGTTGAAACGTGTGTCGCTGGTTTGACAATAGCCAGCAGCTGCTCCGCGCTGAAAATTCTCAACCGCATTGAATCCGTTCAAAAAAATTACACGTCTCGTTATTTGAAGATGCTTTTGGACAAGGTCGAAGAGCTAGCTGGTGACGACTTTAGTAATCACAAGTGGAAGGAGCGGTGGATCGTGGAGATCATCCATGACGTTCCCAAAAACGTGACTTCTACCCTGTCGAAGGAGATAATCGTGGAAATCATGCGCAGGTATTACTTTAGAGCCGCGTCACTCAGGATATCGAAGGCTGCTGGTAATTTCGCGTCAACGGTTTTCAATCGGTACGAGGCGACTGCGGAAATGTACCGACACCCACCCACGCCCTGCTCAGGAGACGAAGAAGAGTCTTGTAAGTACCGTGGTCGGCCGCGGTCTCGCGTCTTACAGTGGGGCAGTGTAATCATCCGTCTCTTGCTTTTCCTTATTTTTTTGTTTTACATTTTTTATTACTTTCATCCCAGTTCTCGTGACCCTCGGACATGGTTGAGCGTCATCTGACGGGGCCCCTGCCCGCGGACCTCGGATTAACGGAGCAATGGGTTGTTGAAAATTACGGCCCCTCGACCCTTACAACATAGTTTATAACAGTTGAGCACTGCTCCTCAACCATAAATTCATTAATAAAACAAGGATTTGTGTGTAAATCATTGACTTTAACAATTTTTTGGATATTTACATTTTTGCGAGAAGAAAGAGGAGGATGAATTACACTGTTTCGTTCCTACCGAATTTCTGTACATCATGGCCATTTTCAATAGCAATAAAAATAATTACAATTTGTTCAACAATCATTTATTTTTCAAATATACCCATCTCGTGGATCTGTATGAATTTAAATGTATGTATTTTATATTACTACTAAGCACGTCTTTGCGAATATTCCCAAAACTATCGGTATTCGAGTAATTTTGGACAACCCTTTTCGCGATTGTGAAAATCAAGCTTCGCTATCGCGCGTTCGAAAAAATATTTACGAAACGAAAAGTAGAGTCAGCAAAGCTCCACCGATTCAGCGTTAATTTAACTCCAATAGGTGAACACTTACTCATTCAGATTGAGAGCGAAAGATACGGTATTACTCGCTTTCCTAGGGTTGTTATACATTTCACATCAACTTTCGACAACGCACGTGATTCATCCGATACCGGGAGTGTTCGCACCTCGAAACTCATGACGTCCCCAGCGAGTTAAATAATAACACGGCACGGCAGGACTCTTGACACCCTTTTGCGAAACCGCCAACCGCAAAATCATCCGAAACATCAGTCCTACGCTATTTTGTGTACAGGTACACCCACACCCTGTGTACACAGCACACGAAATATCATTCGAGGTATTCATGGGATATTCATTATCCCCTCTCCCTCCGACGTTATTTATACTCCTGGTAAACCAGGGTGGAGGGGAGGGCGTAAAGGAAAAGCTCGTAAGCGAGCACGTACAAAGTGCTTCAGTCGCGCAGGGCAGTAGATAAAGCGCTTTTTCGGGGAGATGAATGATTTACGATCAGATACGTGTACGACGACGTGTATACGCGCAAAAGGGCCGACGATAACTTTAACCCCCGTCATCGTGAGACCGTCGGAATATCCCGCCACAACGTGAAATGTACTTTCGATCATTCGGACTTGCCCAAAGATATTATATACTTTTACTTACTTGTTTTAATGTATGCAAAAGCACATATATCACCTTAAAAATCACCCGTGTCACTGTATAAATATTGATTAAGTACTGTATCGTGCTTTCCCTGGATAATATAATGCAAAAAAAAAAAAATTCAAGATCAAAGAGA